GTGTTGTTAGGTGAAGAAATACAGGCGTTAACCTTTTTGTGTTAAAATGTTAATTAGTTAACTTAAAAAGTAATTATTTTTAATGGGTTAATTAAGATTCTACTGACATACAGTAGAAATTTAAGTTTTGCTGATCAAGCTTTTTTATTTACTTATTTGCTTTTATTTTGAGGATATGCTGTTCTTGAAGAGGCTTTCTGTCAAAGGAACCTATTCTCTATATAACCTTCTCTCTTGCTCTTTTGTTTGCTTGGGGTTTTTTTAAGCAATAAGTGTCCATCTCCTGTGGGACTGAACAAAACTTTGACAGTTCTTTATTTCATTTGCACACTCCGTTGTGCAAACATTTCATGTTTGTGTCTGTGAACAAAGTGCTCCTCTCTATTCCATTTGCACACTTCACGTGCAAACATTCATGTTTCTGAGCAAAGTATTTTCCTTTATTTCATTTGCACACTTCAGTATTTCATGTTTGTGCTCGTATCATGCAAAATGGAATATGTGAGCGAAGTATCACTCCTTTTCTGTGCTTTAGTTAGTGTGCTTTTGTGCTTTTTGTTGGGTTTTTCTCATTTCCATTCTGGTAAAATGGCACCAGTGCCTGGGTCTGGGCACTGATATACCTGAATGGCACCTTTTTGCTACCTGGGAGTTACTGGGCCATGCAGATTTTAATTCACACATGCCATCCTCCAGGAGCTGTGTTTTTGTGGCAAGGCAGAGCTCAGAACTAGTTTAACATCAGAGGAAGTATTTGGATCCCTTCCCAGCCTATGCAGAACTCTTTTTGTTGCTCTGTTTTTGTTAACTTCTGAAAACAAACCCACCTGTGATTGGTCAAACCAGTGTGAGTCCTCAGGAGGAGGCAGTGGAAGGAATGCTGGCACAGGTCAGCTCTGGGCATTTTGGCCACAGTGTTGGTTTTGTTCTCTTGTTCAGGTGGTACGGTGTTATAAATGCTGATGTTTTCACCAGTGTTTTCTCATAGAGGTGAGGGCAGGAAGGAGAAATGCTGACATGCATACAGTTTGTATGTCAACTTTAATGAGACTTTTAAGTGTCACCTGTTTTTCAGGTATGATTTTTCCGAGGTGTTCTAACTGGGCTTAACAAGAAACAAGGCCGTTGCTTTACTTCTAAAGTATGTTTTAGTGAAAATAAACGTGGAGCTGCACCATCTTTCTCCTGTTGGGTAGCTTTCTAGGATGCAGAGGGAAGACCATCAGACTGTTAAGTGACTTCTTTAGATTTGACATCAGTGTGAAGCTGTATACAGTCATTAGATTGGATGAAGGTTTTAAGAAATTAAAAAAATCTGGTGGCTTATCACTGTAAAACTGTAGTAAGAGCATGCTGTAATTCTTTCTCATTTTTTCTTCTGCTTCTAGATTCTCACTTATTTTACTTAAGCGATGGCACCATACACTAAAGAAAAAAAATCACCTTTGGGTCTTTGGTGTTCATATTCCTGTGAAAGAATCTAGGATGTTCCAAGAAAAGGCATTAGCCAATTGCTTGGATACAGTAACAACATCTACTGAAGATGGTGCTTTCCAAAAAAAAGGCCATAGTGCAAGAATCCTTAGCCCAGAGGAAGCTGAGAGACTGGCAAAAGATCAGGTTTTGGTGTCTGAGTTCAAACAACTGAAACTGGAGAAAGAGGCACAGAAGAACTGGGATCTATTTTACAAAAGAAACAGCACCAATTTCTTCAAAGACAGACATTGGACAACCAGAGAGTTTGAAGAGTTAAAAGCATGTCGGGAGGTGAGATCTATACACTTCTGCTGTAAAAGATGGGATTGATTGTTTCCAAGAGACTTAACAATACTTATAACAAAGCCATTAAGTTTCCAGTGCCTTAATCTTTCCCTTAATATTGAAGGTAACTCCTCAGAATCAGATGTATCAGTTAAGTTTCAGACCCGCACTGGATGGAGATACAGTCCGTAGCATACTGGATGCTGAGAATGAACTCTGGAGTATTTGTTTTGTGTCCTAAATAGACAGCTTGTCTCTGTGATATTTTTTCCAATGCAAGTTGGTGCACTTCAGTACACTGCTTTAAAGGAAAGCATCCAGAATTGCAGGCTAATTGCAGAACGTTTTGAAAGGGAATAGCCAGATGCATCTGTTGTTCATAATAGCTGACTGAAAGGCAAGACAGAAATGGTACAACAGTCTGTTGATTGCTTAAGGGGTAGGCGACTAAAGAAATATTAATATATTCTAAAAAGATTTCTGATTTTGCAGAAATCAAGATGTCTGGCCTTTAGTGACATCCAGTGGATGTCTACTTTGGTTTTTTAATCAATGGCAGTTAAAATTGATCATAGCTTTCAAAATGCCGATTGAACAGTGTCTCTGCTCATGTAATGGGGAAAACAAAAATCAGGTGCTTTATCTTGTACTGCTTCTTTCCCAGTTTGCAGATCAGAAACTGACCATTCTGGAAGCAGGCTGCGGGGTTGGGAACTGCTTGTTTCCACTCTTAGAAGAAGATCTGAATATTTTTGCATACGCCTGTGATTTCTCTCCTAGAGCTGTTGAGTATGTGAAGGTTGGTGTGATATTTGGAACTACTTTTAGAGTGTTTTTCAAAGCTTCTGAAGTGACAACTGACTGTAATGACAGACTTCTCTTGCTTTCCTTTTTGTGAAGAGGGTAGAATAGATTTTGCCAAAAAATGGAGGCTGATCCTTTTCAGTGGAGATCCCATGCAAGAAGCCAAATCATTGCTTGAGACCGAGTTTTTCAGCATCAAGTTGTACCATTATGGGATATCACTTGAGTGATTTATGAAGACTGGATTTTGGAGCACTGCAATGTCTCTGCTGACTGCAGTAGATGCAAAATTGATTTGCAGTGGAAGCTTGCCCTTGAGTGCCAAGGAGAACCTTGAAAACAGGGAAATTTGTAGCCTGGTTAGGAGTAGGTATGTTTATACTTATTTGTGGGTAGATGGTACTGTAGCCTTAAGTTGAGCCTTCCAGCAAGGCTGATGGGGGCTTTGGCCTTTATAAGTCTCCTGGTTTCTTTGGTTTGTAATCGCAAGTGCATTTCTAGATATCTGTTAACTGAAAGCAGTATCTTTGGACATTTGTGACCAAGAACAACAGGACACAAACAGCATGTCTCATGGGAAGATGGGAAGCAGTGTGCGTGGCCAACAGGAGAGGACAGCAGTTCCCTGGGATGCCATGGCTGCACCTCAAGATGAGGTTGGGCTGAGTGTGTACCCTGAGTTTTGGATGACTTAATGGCATCTGCCTGCACAGCTCTTGCTGAACTTATTTCTTGCCAAGACCAGGTTTCCTTTTACCCAGCAGAAATGTGGACTAGAATAGCCCAGCTGCAGGTTATGTGACAAGAACCTCGACTGTTTACAGTCTACTTTTGGCTCAAGAGCTGTACTTTACTTTGGTTACCCTGCAGTACTTAATTTTTCTTAATATTATTTATGTATTTTTTCAAAGAGTAGAAGCAGCAGTAAAACAGAAATGATATGTTCTCTGAACTGCCTTAATGCACATTCCTTCTCAAATTCATGAAAACAGACAGCTCTACTGGTTGCACTTTCACTATTGCAGTGTGCAACAAAGAATTTCTGACTGCACTAGTCACCTGTTGGAAGTTAATGCTCTTTTGGCACCATGTTTTGTGTTGCTCTACTGATTAGTTTCATAAGCTTTTTACTTTATTGCAATAACAAATGCTGCTAATTTTCAGTGAAAGTGTAATTGAATTTTCATTTCCCTAGAAAAATGCCTTATACAGTACTGAAAGATGTAACGTGTTCCAGTGTGATCTTACCAAAGATGATCTTCTAGACAATATACCAGCAGATTCTGTGGATGTTGTCACACTTATATTTGTGCTTTCTGCCATTCATCCTGACAAAATGCATCTTGTTCTGAAGAACATTTACAAGGTAAACCCAGCTGATTTTACAACCTTTAAAACACTTTCCTTTTAGCTTAAAGGTACCTTTTTTTTTCTGAAAAAATACCCCCTCTTGTAATGGTGATCTTTAATATTATATTCCATGGATGTATTTAGTGAGCTCACCTTGTATATGGGACCGAAATGTGTTTTACAGTGTTGGGGGTTTTTTTCTCCTGGTATTGTGAGATTGTTTGGATTCAGGTTCAATGCATGCTGTTGACATAACAAAAAGGTATATAAAAAATATTATTGTTTTCTCTGTGGAGATACTTTGCTTGTTTAAATTGCTTCTGCACAAACTGGGAAGTGGCAAGTACTCCTTTTCTCCTATAACAAACACAGCTGGTATTTGATGAATTTGTAGAAAAGTTTCATGCATCAGGTATCTAAAATCAGCATGGCCAATGACTATGCATTTCTAAATTTTAAACTCTTTATGGCTTGATTTCTTTACCAAAGAACAATTAAAATAAGAAAAACCAACCCACACCCACAACCCAATTTCCAGAAATTGTTGCTGATTTATTTCTTAATATAATGCAACATTTTTCATGCTTGCATGAAACAAGAAAGGTCATGATATTCTAAATTTTAATCATTAAGGAAAATCAGGTGCTAAACTGTATACTACCCAACAAAGAAAATGCCCTGTTGGGACTTTTTGTTAACGTATATTTTCTTCTTTCCTCTGTATTTGCTTATTTATCTGATCAGCACTCAAGTATTCTTAAACTATTTGTAGTCTCTTGTTTATGGGGAAGCATTTTTTAGAGTGTATGGTCCAGTTTTTAAAGAACATTTTGTTGCACAGGGAACGAACTATATATATATGTGTGTGTGTTGTGTGTATATATATATAACTTCTGTATTGAATATGTTAGTCTACCTTTCCTTAGTTATGTGTGTATGTGCCTGTATGTGTGTACAGACAAATATATCTATCTATGACTGAACCTGTTTATCTTATTAAAGCATGTATAATGTATTACATGACAGGTGTTAAAACCAGGCAAGTGTGTCTTGTTCCGAGACTATGGACTGTATGATCATGCAATGCTCAGGTTTAAATCCGGTAGCAAACTTGGAGAAAACTTTTACGTTAGACAAGATGGGACAAGATCGTATTTTTTTACTGAAGGTAAGACATTCTGTAGAGTGCTTTCTTTTCTGTGAACTTTCTGTTTAAACTTGTTTCAGGGAACTGCCAGCATGTCCACAAAAGTTTTGTTTTACACAAGTAAACTGTTAAATTGTGGTTTATTTCATTTGCCATCCTTTTGGGGAAGAAGAGAGTATTTAGACTGGCAGGACTGTTCGGAGCACTTTCTTGTTTATGAGCTTCTTGTATGTGTTATAATGTGCCAAGAGCAGCAGTTTCTGAATCTGCTGAATTTCATTCTGGTTTGTTACCTAAGGGAAAAAGACCAATGTTCAGTAAGAGAACCGATCATATTTGTGAAGCAAATATGCAGTTCTCTGGGCATCATTCTTTGTGCAAGGCTATTCCTGGTGTCCAAGATGAGGTCTGCTGAAGAAGTCATTGACTTCTAAAGCAGAACCATGGCTACAGTGCTGAGAAGCTTGTGCACAAATCCTGCAAAAATTTGATTGCATTTTGCTGGTGGAGAATTCGAAGCACAGAGACATGAAGGAATTTGCTTAGACTCTCACAATGAGTTGGGATTATAGCTTGGCTATAGTTTCTAACTCCCAATTCCTCATGCTGAACTTGTTACTCCCCCATATCGATTGTAGAGCATTGTGTAGCAAGAGCTGTGTGTTTATTTCTGTGGGACTCTTTGTTCTTAGTCTAAAGCAAAATGCAGCCACTGAAGGGACCGATTTAGAGCCAAGTAAATGTTATTCATATTTTATGCCATAACATATTACCTAATTGCTTCTGATATATAAAAACCATTAATCTTGTCTGAGCTCTCTCTATTCTTCATAGGACTATGATGAAATCTAAGATAATGCAGTCTGTGCTACAGCTTCATTGAAGCATTTCTAGAACTGTTATTTATTGAGTGATTTTTAGTTCTGTTTAAACCATTAGCTCTTGCAAAGAGAATGGATGCTAAAGGGAACAAATAAGAGACTGACCTAGCTGTGGAATTTTAAATCCCATTTTTGTTGTATGTTAGAATTGTTTCTGAATGAGAAATTCCTTGCTAGTATGCATGTTTCCCTTGGTGGAAGAATTGAGGTAGGGAGAAGGAAGAGGAAGGAAGGAGAAAAGAGAGAATTTATTTTATATTGCTCATGTTAGCAATTGTTTTTCATTGGGCTAGTCTATGACTGTCTCATGGGTCACCTCTGCTCCCATTTTTAATCATTATGATCTCATTCATCTCACAGATTTTCATATAAATATGATATATAAATAATGCTTGAGAATTCTTTTGTTACTGGAGATAACGACTCCCATCATTTCTGCACAGATTGCAACCCATGCTGTTTTTCATTTCTTTAGCAGTACCCTAGTAGACCAAGTAATTGCTGCATGAAATGATTTGAGTGATATTTATTGCTAATATGTCTGGCCTCAGATAACAGCACTGAACTTCTTCTATGGAAAAAAAGAATCCTTTATTTAACTGTTTGAAATACTACTACATTTGTGGAGGAATGCATGATTGTAATTTTGTGTTATGAAATATGTGCAACTTTCTTACAATGAGATTGCAACAGATCCACAATTAAGTGCTGTTGATTTATGTTTCATCGGTGTGGGTCCCCCATTTTACATGAACACACAATGTTTACAACCAGTGTGTGTGGCTCCATGGTGGGCTTAGGTTGATATAAGCCTGTACTATCACCAGAGTGGGTGGTCTCATCTTCCTCAACACAGCATCTCTTCTAGTGCTTCCTCTACCCACACGATCGACGTTTCATGGAGCTAATTCCCCTGAGCAGTGAAAAATGGCATGTCTTTGTTCTCTGACAAGTAGCAGAAGTTTAGAATGGCTTAAATTTACTGTGAAGTTATTGCCTGCATAAATGAAATAAAGTGCAGGAAAGGAAAAGTTGTGATTTTTAATTAACATGACAAATCAATAATCTCAGTAACCCTCTCTGCTGCATGGGTCACCCTGTTTGTGAGGTACTTTTGCGTTCCTTAAGGGAAATACGCTTTGAGTAAAATTCCTTTCAGTTCAGCCTTGTGGAGGCTTGGTACCACCACATCCATTTTGCCGTTTTGACCTTTGTCCTGTTGAGCAATGGCATATGAATGTCTGGAGGTGTTCTTCCCTGAGCATCAGTCACAGTGAGAGTGACAAGGCTCAATAAAAATAAGAGAGGTGGCCATTTTTGGAAACTAAGCTGAGTGACTAGCTTAAGCCCCAGTTTTACAAGCTGTTTTGCTTAGGTTGGTGTTTCTAAAGGAGATCTGTATTGATTTTTATTCAGCAGTCTGCCTGCATAGAACAGCTTGAAATCTGAAGGCCTGTGTGATTTTCATGCTGTAACACGTAAGAACATATGCTTATATAAATGCTATCTAGTGTTTTAAAAATAGCGTAAGTATGTATAATATTTCATCTTTTTTTTATTTTTTTTAATTGTCTTCCAGAGTTCTTATCTCAGCTTTTCAAGGCTGAGGGATATGAGCAAGTGGTCAATGAGTATGTGCAGCGAGAAACTGTGAACAGGAAAGAAGACTTGCGTGTTCCAAGAGTTTTCCTTCAAAGCAAATTTCAGAAGCCTTTCAGTAAGACATAAGGTCTTGCCAATTAGCAACAGCATTGCTTGTTTAAAACGGAAGTTAGCACATAACCTTGTGTGTGCTCATCTCTCTGGTAAACCAGAAATGACTGCATCTAGTACCTCTTGCTGACTTTCATCCTAGGATGCTAAACATGAATGCTATTTTTACTTCAATTTTAAGATGGTTTAGTGATGCAGGCAACTTGCTGAGTATCTGTATTCCTGCTTCTAAAGTAAAACCTGTGTTGGAGGATCAGGTAAACCACATAAATATGGTTGGTTAGTTATTATCATAATTGTTATTTCCATTTTTATTAAAAGCTAGTTTTTAAATAACTATGCTGTGTTTCTGTCACTTGCAGTTTTCTGAGGCTTGTTAAAGTTACAGTATTTCATCTACTTTCAGTACTTGCAGAGCTTCTGAGTGTAATTTCTCAGATACAGGAATGAAACAGTGGTATAATTTGAGTTGCTTTGGTATTTTAATAATGGTATCTTTTTAATATGATCAGCATTTAAATGTAAACAAATATGTATATTCTAAATAAGATCCTAATTTTTCTGATTTCATGCTTAAAGAAGCATGTTAATGGATCAGGGTGTCTTTATCCTCAATTAATTTCGGATGTTCCTCATTGGATGAGCAAAAACAATTGAGTTTTTTCAAGTCTGTTTCCCATTTGGCACTGAAATCAGCAAGTCAGGAGAACTTCCTTTGATATGAAGTGCAATCAGCTGTTTCTTTCCTGAGCAGAGGTCTTAATTCTTTCCCATCACTCTCAGGAAGGGTGTTGGTCTTTGTTATTCCTAGCACTAAAAGCCACTATATTGCTGCTATATTGTGGCCTGCTATTCTTCAAGGACCTTCTTGGCAGAGTCCCATGGGATGAAGTCCTGGAAGGCAGAGAGGTCCAGAATTGGTGGCTGATACTCAAGGATCACCTCCTCCAAGCTCAGGAGCAATGCATCCTGACAAGGAGGGAATCAGGCAAAAATGCCAGGAGACCCCCATGGATGGATAACAAGCTGCTGGGCAAACTCAGAGGGAAAAAAGGATGTCCTCAGGAGGTGGAAAAGAGGACAAGTGAGCTGGGAGAAATACAGGGAAATTGTACAGGAAGCTAGGGATGTGGTTGGGGAAGCCAAGGCCCAGCTGGAATTGAGTCTAGCCAGGGACATTAAGGATAACAGCAAGGGCTGTGGGCCCTCTCCATAAGGAAACAGGAGACGTAGCTACCCTGGACAAAGAGAAGGCTGATGTTCTCAATGACTTCTATGCCTCAGCCTTCAACTGCAAGTGCTCCAGCCACACTGCCCAAGTCGAGAAAGGCAAATGTAGAGACTGGGAGAATGAAGCCCCTGACCCGTCCGTAGGAGAGGATCAGGTTCGTGACCAGCTAAGGAACCTGAATGTGCGTAAGTCTGTGGAACCTGATGAAATTCATCCTTGGGTTCTGAGGGAGCTGTGGATGTAGTTGCTAAGCCACTGTCTATAATTTTTGAGAAATTGTGGCAGACAGGTGAAGTCCTTGATCACTGAAAAAAGGGAAACATAAGACCTGTTTTTAAACAGCATTGGTGGATAAGGGCAGAGCAACTGACATCGTCTGGATGGACTTATGCAAAGTATTTGACACTGTTGTGCACAAGACATGATTTGATAGATGGACCACTCAGTGGATAGATAGATAGAACTGGCTGAACAGTCGCACGCAGAGAGTTGTGGTCAGCAGCTTGTTTTCTACCTGGATACCAGTGACAAGTGGTGTCCCTTGGGGGTTGGTGCTGGAGCCGACGCTGTTCAACATCTTTGTCGGCGACATGGACAGTGGGATCGAGTGCGCCCTCAGCAAGTTCGTTGATAGCACCAAGCTGTGTGGGGCAGTCACACGCTGGAGGGATGTGCCATCCAGAGGGATCTTGACACACTCGATAGTGGGTTGATGACAACCTCATGAAGTTCAACAAAGTTAAGTGCAAGGTCCTACTTCTGAGCTATGGCAATCCCAGGCACAGCTACAGGTTGGATAGGGGAGTAATTGAGAGCAGTACTGAGTAGAAAGACTTGGGCATGATGGTGGATGAGAAACAACATGAGCTGGCAGTGTGTGCTAGCAGCCTAGAAAGCCAATTGAATCCTGGGTTGCATCAATAGGAGTGTGGCCAGCAGGTTAAAGGAGGTGATTCTTCCCCTCTAGTCTGCTGTCGTGTGACTCCGCCTAGAATGCCGTGTGCAGTTCTGGTGCCCTCAATGTAAGAAGGACATGGAACTGTTGGAGCAAGTCCAGAGGAGGCCACGAAGTTGGTAAGAGGACTGGAGCATCTCCCCGATGAGGATAGGCTGAGAAAGCTGTGGCTGTTCAGCCTGGAGAAGAGAAGGCTGTGTGGAGACCTCTCAGCAGCCTTTCAGTATCTGAAGGGGCTCCAGGGAAGCTGGAGAGGGACTCTTTGTTAGGAGCTGCAGTGATAGGACAAGGGGCACTGGGTACAAATTGAAAGAGTGGAAATTTAGATTAGATATCAGGAACAAGATTTTTACTGTGCTGGTGGTGAGACACTGGCACAGGGTGCCCAGGGTGGTAGTGGATGCTCCAACCCTGGCAGTGTTCAAAGCCAGGTTGGATAAAGCTTTGAGCAACTTGGTCTGGTCAGAGGTGTCCCTAACCATGGCAGAGAGTTGGGACTAGATGATTTGTGAGGTCCATTCCAACCCCTTAACATTCTATGACTCCATGCTATGGCTCATAGCTTGCCACAGACTTAACTTGAAAGAACTTCATCCTGTCCCTTCAGCAGCCCTGGCACTTTGCACTGCAGGACCTTTCTGTGTTCTTAGATGATATCATTTCAAAAACATGTCTAGGTCTCTAACCTGCACTTGGAGCAGCTGCTCTGCAGCAGAGGAAGCTCAGAAGTATCCGGTGTCTTGTGCAATGGGCTATGCTGATCTTGTGTAACATTCACAAGTTGTAACAAGGGAAATTCCAATGAAATACTAAGATTTTCTCTATTTTGTGTCTGTGTGTGTGAAAGGAGAGGTCAAATGCTGGGACAGGGCCCAGAGAGGTTGTGGAATCTCTGTTCTTGGAAGTACTCAGAAACAGACTGGACAAGGCATCCTGTGACTTCGAGGGGGGCCCTTTTCTCAGTAGAAATTTTATGTCTTGCAGTATATATAAGTATGTGATTGATTGACTCAGGCTATCATTCCACTGGACTTGTGTGCTTCTAGATGACCCAGTCATACAGATCTGGTGTGGATCAGAGGTGACTATTTGCTTCTGTTTATGACGAAGAGGCCATAAGGTGTGATAATGATTTTTTTGCCCCCAGCAGTCTTAACACTGGCTCTGTGTGCATGGAAGAAAAAGTAATAATTTCCCAGCCTAAAGCCTAATGTTACAAAATTAACCAATCGAAATTTTTTTAACAGAATTGGAACTGCCAGAGGTCTTATTCATTTGATATATTTACAAATAAATTTGCAACAGATCATTGCTTTGCATCAGGGTATCACAGTTGGTTCTTTTTGGTCTCATATCATGAGCCCCAAAGCTGAATTTTATTGTATCATCAATCTTTGGCCTCAGAGGAAAAAAATGCTTAAATCACACAATTCTCCTAATGACTCTTTGAGGGGGGTTATTACATGTCATCTCCTTTGTTTTATGGAGTGCGTTATCCCAGAGATTTATGCATTGCTGACCCCTGCTGCACTACCCATTAGCTCTTTCTGCCACACTAGTAATAAATATCTAGTAACATTTATAGTAAATGAAAAAAATAGGTTAAAAAGGGGGTATAACAATGACAGCATTATTCTAATCTGTGCCATCTAATCTGTGCCATTTGTTGGACATGGGAGGGAACAG